TTTTTTTTTTTTTTTTTACATATATTGTATTATTTGGGTGGCTCAGTGGGTTAAGCGTCTGCCTTTGGCTCAGGTCATGATCCCAGGGCCCTGGGATTGAGCCCCGTGTGGGGCTCTGTGCTCAGGGGAGAACCTGCTTCTCCCTCTCTCTGCCGCTCCCCCTGCTTGTGCTCTCTCTCTCTCTCTCTGTCAAATGAATAAATAAAATCACATGCATTTTTGAAAAATTTCCTGAATCTTACAGCATCCTCTACCATGGGATAGGCTTTTTGCCAGGAAAATTCTTGATGCTGACACAAAACTCAGTTTTATTAATCCCATGAGTGTCATTCTTCAAGGTTTCCCATCTCTAAACTCCCACAATATGCTTGTAACTTCTTTTACAGCAAATATTTCTTTGTAAACTTTGTCACAGTTTTGCATATAGATTATCCCCTTCATAACACAATATCTTCGAGGTCAGGAACTTCTTACATACTCTTCATAATTTGCTATGCTTTGTACATAGTAGACATGTGATGAATGTTGCAGGAAGTGGGAAAAGGTAAGAAAGAAGGGAGTCAGGGAAAAAAAATCTACATGAGAGGTAGGAACCAACAAGCAGAAACCAGTAGGTACTCCCACGGGCAATATACCATTGCTGCTTTTCCCTCCTACCCACTGCTTCCACATCTGTAGATTTCTCCAATTTACCCTATTGCAAAGGCCAGATCCTCCTAGTAAGTAATCATCCTTGATTTATATAATTGCCATTCTCATACTTCTCAAAGCATGAATGAGCTTACATGACATCGTTTTTCCAAATCACAATTTAGAGCAACATCTCATATGTGGCCCCAATTCTGTGCATTCATTGTCTCTCTGTATTCTGATAATTTCTCTCCCTCTGCCTCCCTTGCAAATTATAGGTCAGTGTGGAACTGAAAGCTTCTCCAGTCTTACTACAATCCCAAAATGAGCAGGGAAAAGAATCCTATTGCATCTGTGCAAATGAGCGGCAAACCCTGTCTTGGACGGTAACTCCTAAAATTCTGGGTGAGTGACATTCCCCCAAAATGTTCTCCAATCAACAGGGGTGGTGGGTATCTGAACACTACTTACATCACATTCGCTTTTTTGTTTCACACAAATATAATTCCCTAAGGTTAGTTTTTTTTTCTTCTTTTGATTTCTACCCACAGTGGTCTCCTCCCAGTACCCCCACAGCACCTGGGCCCCACAGTCACTGTACTTGGGCACTGATCACTCAATGTCCGCTAGCCTTGAGTTTTTTCCAGCTTTATTTCCTATTCCAGCCAGTAGTAAGTTCAAAGTGCAGCCCTTCAAGGTGATTACAGAGCACAAAGTCATTTTCAGCTATTAGGGATGGCTTGGACTGATATCAAGATGGATGCACATTTTTTTTCTACATTCTTTGTTTCAGGGAATGTGAACTTCTCAGTGAGTGCAGAGGCAGTGCAATCCCCAGAGCTATGTGGAAATGAGGTTGCTGAGGTCCCTGAGATTGGGAGAAAAGACACAGTCATCAAAATCCTGTTGGTGGAGGGAAGTCGGTCTGGACCACTTCAGTATTTTTCTGAGACCCTAACAACAGTAATAGTGAGAAACAGTATGGCCATATTCTTGAGCTAACAAAGAATAATTAATACCGTACCCACCCAATCCACCTGATAAGACTAATGGAATTTCCTGTCCTAAAAGTATTGTAGTAAATTTTTTAGCTAACCTTGTTAGCTTATCATAAATACTTTTTCTCATGAATTATTTCAGAGCTAGTCCCTTTTCCTGACTTCTTCGTCTCTTCTAAGATTCATTTATTTCTCACACTTTGTACCTTTGATTCTCTTTCCTTATTATCCCTCATTGTCTCCTCTGCTGGTCTCCATGGTTCTTCAGAGTTTTATGGATTTATAGTAATTTGATAATAAGTAGGATGTTAAGATTGTTTAGTGTAAACCCCACCCTTCAAAGCAATGAATCTGCAGTTGTCCTTCAAAAACCTGGACGTTTATCCCTTTTCTCCATTTTTTTTTTCCACTTGAGCCTGAAGGTATTGAACAAGAAAAGACTTTCAACTCTATGACTTGCACTTCTAGTAAGAGTCCATCTTCATAATCATAGTGAGAATAATGCCCCACAGGGATATGTATGTCAAGTTACAACACGTGTCCCTACATTTTATCTCCCCTTATCTTTAGAATGTTACCTTAAATTTGGCATAGCAATAAGTATTTCTTTATATGCATTTTACACAAGAGGACACTGAGCCCAAGAGAGTGGGTAAACATGGCTTAGGGGTGCAGACAAGACTAATACTTGCTCAGTTCACATTTAGCCTTTACCTCCATAGCCCAGAGGCTGCTCATGAACCAATAAGGATATAGTAGCTGAGAGTGTCATAATCTAGGTAGAAAGACAGCAAAGTCATAATAAGATTGAATGACAGTGATATTCTCTAAAATAGTTGATGATGAAATAGGGGGCACTTTGTATTCATCTTACTGAAAAAATGTTTCATGGCAAAAAAACCCAACCATCATATCATTAAGAAACAACTGTAGCTTTTAAGTTACATTGCCACATTAGTATTAGTTCTACATCTGTAGTGTATATGACACTGTTCTTGTCTTTCGAGAAGGACCAATTTAAAGTATAAAATCAGAGAACAATAAAATCAGAGAATTAGACAATCAGATCAAAGAACTATATGCCCCACCAGTTCCCAGGCTTCTTTTAGAGAGAGCCACCATGCACAGCTACCCAGAACATAGTAAAGTGAGAGGGGAAAGGACTCTGGAAGTCATTCTGTGCCAAGAAGAGCTGGACAATTAAAGGTGATCTCATCATAAGCCAAAGTCCTTATTCCTCGGACCCAGGGTTCCTGAAGGAGACATAATAATACCACTAAATATAATAATAACTGCTCACATGTATGGAGACTTCACATGTTGCAGAGGCTATTGTAATGCACATATGTTTTACATGCATTCTTCCACTGAATTATCACATGAGCAAGTTAGACTATGAGGAGGTTAAGTAATGTGTCCAAGGTACAGAGCTAGTAAGTGTGGGTCTGAAGCCCCTCTCCCAACCACTACATTGTATTGCTATAAGAAATGTCATACTTTGATATGGGTTGTCTGTTTCCAAAGGTACTGCAATATCTGAGCAGTTATCCCTGAAGCTCCCACCAAATGTGGTCAAAGAATCTGCCAGAGCCTCTTCCTCAGTTTTGGGTGAGTCATCTTGTACCTGGGAAACTCGGGACAAAAGAGCAGCCATCATACATCTGAATCTATAGGGGTTTTTTTAAGATTTATTTATCTATTTGAGACAGAGAGAGAGAGAGAGAGAGAGAGAGTAGGGGGAGGGGCAGAGGGAGAGAATCTTCAAGCAGACTCCCCGCTGAGCATGGAGCCTGATGCGCGGCTTACAACCCTGAGATCATGACCTGAGCTGAAACCGAGAGTCAGATGCTCAACTGACTGAGCCACCCAGGCAACCCAATAGTTGTGTTTTAAATCTCAACTTATTAATAGCATCTATTTCTATTAGAATTCTGGAAATCTCACTCTCTAAATATAAATTTCCTCTTGCCTAAATGGTGTCTATGACACTAAATATGAAAATAATTTGTTTTTAATAATGTTGGTCTACTTAAGGGCTGAAATTACTCTGACATCTAATCTTTCACATCCCCTAGGTGACATACTAGGTTCTGCTATGCAAAATATACAGAATCTCCTCCAGATGCCCTATGGCTATGGAGAACAAAACATGCTCCTGTTTGCTCCTAACATCTATGTCGAACTATCTGAATGAAACCCAACAGTTGACTCCAGATATCAAGTCCAAGGCCCTTGGCTATCTTACCAGTGGTGAGTCAAAGAAAAGTTTACTTTGTTACTCTGAGACTTTTCCCGATTAAACCTGAATTATATTAGCAGATATTAAGCTAATGATGGTGATTTTTGTGAAAATGACAATTTTCCCACCATTTAATAGGATGTTGTGTTGTGACATATCCATAATATTCCTAAAACTATGTTAGATAAGAGACCATACAATGTCTGTGGCTTCTGGATGCATCAGCCTGCACCTATGGGTGGCCTGCCTTTTTATAACACTGCTTGAACTACTTGAACCTTTCATCCCAGGTTACCAGAGACAGCTGAACTACAAACACCAAGATGGTTCCTATAGCACCTTCGGGGAACAGTATGGAAGGAACCAAGGTAACACTCGGTAAGAAAAGAAAATCTATTCTGAGTTTCAACTATGAGTTCACAGCATGTACATATAGTAGCCTATTTAATTCTTAAAACAATCCTGTCAAATGAGAGCTATTCACTTCTTTTTACAAAGGAGGAAATGACATTCAGCATGGATAAATAAACATCTCTGGTATAAACAACTAATAAATGGCAGAACTGAGAACACTTGGAAGTTGAATCTTTTTACATTTAATACACCAAGCATCTTTTCTTTCTCATGTTCCTAAGGGACCATTGTAAGTTAGTGATTTTCCCTCTTAAGTTTTTTCTCAGCACTGAGAGATGCTAGAAATGGGCTAGAAAAACTAAGTGTACTTTACTACCTTCTACTAGATGACTCTGTGTGTGTGTGTGTGTGTGTCTGTCTCTCTCTCTGTTTATCCGTCCATCTGTCTGTCTTCTGTCTCTCCATCCATCCGTCTGTCCATCCATCCACCCCATCTATCTACCTGTCTGTCCATCTGCTCATCTATCTCTCTATGTATCTATCTGTCTTGAATAAGTCTGACCACACAGGAAAACAAGTGGAAATCAAGTGCTAAGGAAAGTGGTGGAGGGGCTGGGTGATGTGGAGGGAAATACTTACTGAAGCAAGACATTCAAAGTAGTTAGTCATTAGGGTATTAGCTGCAGAAGAGAAGATATCTGTGAAAAAGAAATAAATACAGAAAGCCCAGAATGTGAGAGCAAATATCATAACAACCCAAGAACACTAGGAGACACCTGAATCTCTAAAGTGACACAGAAATGCTTTAGGAAGCAGGGACCGATTGGTAATGCATTTAACAACATGTTGTAGCTAAGCAAAAAGAATATGGAAGCTGCCAGGTTAACAGAAAAAGTCTCCAAACTCTTAGTGATAGCTCACTGACTCTCATGAGGGTGCACTGGGGGGAAAAGAAGTCTATGTGTGTGAAACAGAGTGTTAGGGTGCTGTACAGAAAACAGCACCCCACTCTTCCTCACCCTTCAGGCTCACGGCCTTTGTACTGAAGACTTTTTCCCAGGCTCGAACCTACATTTTTATTGATGAAGCACACATCACCCAAGCCCTCACGTGGCTCTCCCAAAGGCAGAAGGACAATGGCTGTTTCAGGAGCTCTGGGTCACTGCTCAACAATGCCATTAAGGTAAGGTGTTCTGAGTACTTATCCTGAACCTCATGATACACTAATACTAACATTCCTCCAAAGGTGAGGGGAGAAGAAAGGCACAGAGAAATTGCAAAGATGAAGTCCAGCAGTGTGAAAGGGCATCAGGGAAGGAATATAATATTAAACCTGAAAATTATAGAGGCGAAAGAAACGGTGCTTTGCATGAAGATGTTATTTTGCTTAATAGAGACAGATCCTGAGAAGGGTCCCCATGAAACGGCAGTAGAGAATATACTAAAATTTGAGAGTAGAATTAATAAAAATTCCCTCTCTCTCTCTCTCTCTCCCCTCCCCCCAACAGGGAGGAGTAGAAGATGAAGTGACCCTGTCAGCCTACATTACTATTGCTCTTCTGGAGATTCCTCTTCCAGTCACTGTAAGGTTCACCTCAATCCCATTTCCTACCATGGAACCTACAGGCCTGATGTCTGGAACACCGCCTACTACAAGCCAAGTCTCAACTTTCCTTTTGCTCAATGCTGAGACATTTCTCAGCTAGATAAGCTCTTTGGTTAATCCACTAAAGGGAACTTATACTAATCCAAAAACCACAGGCTCACTAGACTTATTCTTTTAAGACTTAACTATAGGGGCGCCTGGGTGGCTCAGTTGGTTAAGCGACTGCCTTCGGCTCAGGTCATGATCCTGGAGTCCCGGGATCGAGTCCCACGTTGGGCTCCCTGCTCAGCGAGGAGCCTGCTTCTCCCTCTAACCCTCCCACCTCTCATGTACACACTCTCTCTCTCTCATTCTCGCTCTCTCAAAATAAAAATAAATAAATCTTTTTAAAAGAAAGACTTAACTATAAAGCTAAGAGATTTAAAATATTTTTTTCAATTTCAACATCGTGGCTATCTGGCTGTCTACCTGGCTGGCTGACAACCACTAATGACTTCTGTCGAACAATATCCAACTCAGGGTTTGCTCCATCCTCTACCTACCCTAATCTGACATCATTACCTCTTTGTCTTTGCAGCACCCTGTTATTCGCAATGCCCTGTTCTGCCTGGAGACTGCCTGGAACACAGCAAAGGAGGGGACACATGGGAGCCATAGCTACACCAAGGCATTGTTGGCCTATGCTTTTGCTCTAGTGGGAAACCAAGATAAGAAAAGGGAAATACTGAACTCTCTTGATGAGGGAGCTGTGGAAGAAGGTGAGAGAAAATGGTAAAAAAATTTCCCCTTTCATTTACACTGATACTACGAAAAGAGGAGGGTTATATTTCCAATGAAAGTAACAAGCTTCATCTGGAATTCCTTAGCCAACTCGTATATTGTGAAATCAGAACACCTCTTGTAAAAATGTCTTCTTGAGTGTCTGGGTGGCTCAGTCAGTTAAGCTTGTGACTCTTGATTTCAGCTTAGGTTTGTGGGGTCAAACCCCATGTCAGGCACCCCACTCAGCAGGGAGTCGGCTTGAGATTCTCCCTCTCCCTCTGCCCTTCCCCCCATGCTCTCTCTAATTTAATTTATATATACTTCACATGATATCTGTCTCCCTACTTGGATGAAAAGAGGCACAACCAAAAACCATACTAAAGGAAGTGAAATAACATTTCCAAAGTGTTTTTATCTCTATTTGCCAGAGATTATCACAAAAGTCCTCTGAGATCAATAGGTAGGTTTTATATTCCAATTTATCCTTCAGTTTCCAGGAAGTATCTCTCCAGAGAACTCTCTCTGTCACTCTTCTCTTCCCCTGACTCAATTAAAATAATATTTGAAAAACTGATAAAGATGCTCTATGCTTCCTCCTTCAACAACATTCTTCAACTTATCCCCACAGGACTAAACCAACTTTAGCATGGAAATGTGAGTTAGTGAATTTGCAGGGCTTACGACAGAGAGAACATTACTTCTCTGTACTATCTTCAGCTCCATATGATACAAATGTGTATTCACGTATCATCTACTGATAATTAGGATTCTCTCCTTTTTCTCACCCGTAAGATAACTCAGTCCACTGGGAGCGACCTCAGAAACCCAGGGCACCAGTGGGGCATTTTTACCAACCCCCGGCTCCCTCAGCTGAGGTGGAAATGACATCCTATGTGCTCCTGGCTTACCTCACGGCCCAGCCTGCCCCGACCTCAGAGGAGCTGACTTCCGCCTCGCGCATCGTGAAGTGGATCACAAAGCAACAGAATTCCCAGGGGGGCTTCTCCTCCACTCAAGTCTGTATTTCCCAAATAGTCTTCTCAAGACTCTAGATTCACATGGCACATGGGAAAGCTTGAAAAACACAGCAGTTAACAAGGAAAAGAGAAGAGACCATTACATCTTGGGAGAGTTATTTAGGGATATTTGAAGACAGTGGGAATATGAAGTAAAGAGATCTAAGACATTCCCCAAAAACACTTTTCCTTGAGCACTATGTTAACATCTATCGATTTGGCTACTTACCATAAACATCATTCCTCTCTAAAGCTTATACACATTGGTCATTGGCCACACTCTAAGGTTTTTGAGTATCAGTGCTCTTGACATTTTGGGTCAGATAATTACTGTTGTGAGGGGCTGTCCTGGATCCTTAAGATGTTTAGCAGCACCCCTGTTCTCTCCCCACTAGATGCCAGTAGCACCCTGCTCCCAGTTGAGACAAGGTAAAATCGCCCTTAGTTAAGAATCAGTGTTCTAGGGGTGCCTGGGTGGCCTAGTCACCCAAGCCTCCGACGCTTGATTTCAGCTCAGGTCATGATCTCAGGGTCGTGAGATCGAGACCCATATCGGGCTCCGCACTTAGCCGGAAGTCTGCTTGGGATTCTCTCTCCCTCTCCCTATGCCCCTCCCCCACCTCAAATAAATAAAATAAATCTAAAAAAAAAAAAAGAATCAGTGTTCTAGGCTCCAGACTACATCTGTAGGATTCTTCCAACAAGAAATCCTCTAAGGTGAGCCAGAAAATTGTACGATTAAAAGGAAAGTGGACCAAGTGGCGTCCACGTTGATCTTCATAGAATGATTGAGAAGTCCTGTTCAGGCTCTCCAATCCTTTCTACCTGCCTTGTGAACTCCCTTCTGACTTCCCCTTTAAACTGATTTTTTTTCAAAGCTAAAGTTCTTGGAATTTTCCTTTTGTGTTAAACATCCAGAGAATCTGGGTTTTTGCTCCTATAATCCTCTTTCAATATTTAGGATGGACATAGTAAAACTTCTCTTTTTCAGAGAAATTAGGTGCAGGGAATGAAAATAAGCTGTATAAAAGAGGAAAAGAGAGTTGGGAAAGTTCATCTGTCTCATATCACCACTCATCACCAATTTCTCTCACTCTTCTATCTACATTAACACCAGTCAGTCTTTTTCCTAACTTGCTAATTTTCAACCCAATTTTTTTTTTTTTAGATTTTATTTATTTGACAGAGAGAGACAGCTAGAGCAGGAACACAAGCACGGGGAGTGGGAGAGGGAGAAGCAGGCTTCCCGTGGAGCAGGGAGCCCGATGCGGGGCTCGATCCCAAGACCCTGGGATCACGACCTGAGCCGAAGGCAGACGCTCAATGACTGAGCCACCCAGGCGCCCCTCAACCCAATTTTTTAAAGACAGCCAAGAGGACTGTTGATAAGAAAAAGCAGGCCGCAACTAATGATGTAATGTATGGTGATTAACATAACAGTAAATTTAAAAAAAAAGAAAGAAAGAAAGAAAGAGCAGGCAGCAACTTCCGGATAGAGAGAATAATCCCTTAGGACAAAATCAATATAAGGGAAAATAAATGGCAAGGCTAATTGGCATCAATAATCTTGTATTTCATTTGCAGAAACAATAGCATAACTTTGATGATGCCTGAAGGTAGAGAAAAAGGAAAAACAATGAGTAGGTGTATACTTCAGGGGAAAAAAGCCAGCCTCCCCTTGTGGTAACCAACACAGACTTTGGGGAGAATCCCTGCTACCAAAAACTTACTCTGTGGGGGTGAGTTCCCCACTTGTCTTTTCCAGGACAGAGTGGTGGCTCTCCAGGCTTTATCCAGATATGGAACATCCACCTTCACCAGGACTGAGAAAACTGCCCAGGTGACCATCCAGAATTCACAGGCATTTGTCACAAATTTCCAAGTGGACGACAACAACCTCCTGTTGCCACATCAGGTCTCATTGCCAGAGCTGCCTGGGGAATATTCCATAACAGTGACAGGAGACAGATGTGTGTATCTTCAGGTGAGACTCTTGAAATTTTAACCTTATCAAATGAAAGGGGAGCTCTGATCTCTCTTTCCTGGACAAATGAAGGGCAAATCGGGAGAAGCTGAATGATGGAAAAGTGAGGAGTCCCAGGTAAGGAGAGACACCGATGGTGTGCTTGCCATTCCACAGACATCCATGAAATACAATATTCTTCCAGAGAAGGAGGACTCCCCATTTGCCTTGAAAGTACAGACTGTACCCCATACTTGTGATGGACCCAAAGTTCACACCAACTTCCAGATCTCACTGAATGTCAGGTAAGACCTCTGACTGAATCACCTAATGCTGAGTCTAAAAGCTACCTGGAACCTTCAGTAATTAAGAATATATCTGGAATCTATGCTATTAGGTGAATATAATTTAAAATTGATGTATCTACTAATGAAGTTAGCCTTGTATCATTACAGAGTGATTCTTTTCTCTAGCAATTTTTTTGTCTTAAAGTTTCAGTAACACTTTATTTTTTTAAGATTTTTTTATTTATTTTTTGACAGGGAGGGAGACAGCAAGAGAGGGAACACAAGCAGGGGGAGTAAGAGAGGGAGAAGCAGGCTTCCCGCTGAGCAGGGAGCTCGATGCTGGGCTTGATCCCAGGATCCTGGGATCATGACCTGAGCCAAAGGCTGATGCTTAACAACTGAGCCATCCAGGCACCCCTCAGTAATACTTTAAAAGTATTTAAAAGCAAAGTTTGGTCTTAAACTTTCAAATAAAAAAATGTAGACTCTTCAAATGTTCTAATAAATTTCTACTTTTACACTAATTTTTGTTCAACTCAACGCTGAAGAATAAATTACTTTCCACAGTGATTTTTATTTTAGGTTGAATTAAGTCTTCCTTACCTTTTTTGAATAATTAAATTCTATTTTATTATTTTTCTAATCAAATATATAAATAGCAAATGCTAATATTAAATAGAGGTATAAATTAAATATAAAATATAGAAATTACCCTATAATAACCCATCAAAAACTTATAGGAATTTGGGGCACCTGGGTGGCTCAGTCAGATGAGCATCCGACACTTGGTTCAGGTCATTATCTTGCGGTTGTGAGATCTAGCCTCGTGTCAGGCTCCACACTCAGCACAGAGTCTGCTTCAGATTCTCTCTCCCTCTGCACCCCTGCCTGCTGCTCGTGAGTGCTCTGTCTCTAAAATAAATAAATAAATAAAATCTTTCATAAAAGAAAAAAAAACAACTTATAGGAATCCTAAGAAAACATAGCAGCATATAAGACTATGTATCTACAACTAATGATATTGATATTGTAAAACAAATCATGTTTCAGACAACCAACCTAATTAGTAAACATCAATTTATTCAAAGTATAAAGCATAAGAGTCTATCTGATCTCACACCACTTTGGAGCCTCTCTGGAAACATGCTACATTCAAGTTAACCTAAAAATAGAAGAGTAATACCTACTAAATAACAAATGTATAGTATAAATGGAGTGTCCAAAAATTGGCAATGTGTTAATGAATGCAGATTACCAAGCTCCATTCTCAAAGACTCTGATATGATAGTTTTGGTTTGGGACCTAAACATCTATGATTTTAGTAAGCCATAGATCTGATGTACATTCAGGGTTCCAAACATCAATGTCATACATGTCCAGGGAACAGAGATTTCTAGGAGTTATAATGTTATATAGAAAACTTCATGATGATAGGCACATTTATGGTAGGTCTTAAAGGAGGGACTCTGGCTTTCTTTCACATACAACGCCCTTACTCCTTTTTCCTTTGACGCTACAGTTACACAGGGAGCTGTTCTGTCTCCAATATGGTGATTGTTGATGTGAAGATGGTGTCTGGTTTTATCCCCTTGAAACCAACAGTAAAAATGGTAGGTGTATTTTAAGCCTAATAGATCTCATACAAAAGGATGCTCTGTATCTTCTAACTAAGACCATACCAATATCAAAGCCTTATCAATAGCAACCTGCCTCACGAAATATTTTTCCCAAACCCAGAAAATTCAATTCAATAATTGCTTATTTGCTTCTAAGCTGAGGGACTTGTATGGTATTAGAGAAACACGAGAAGAGTCCCTGTCCTTGAGCCATCCACAGTCTAGTTAGGGATTTAAAGCACATAGGCATGAAACTTTATTTACTATAACAATGCTAGAAAGACAGACTATGATTAAGTACCAAATTGGCTGATATGCTCTAAAAAATCTGGCAATGATAAAGTCAGTATGAACTAGAATCATCGCAGATGTCAGAGGGTCTAATGTGTTACCTGGATACTGAAGCATGGTGGAAAAACTGATCTGAAAATGCCTGGCTACCGTCTATTCATAGAAAGCCAGAAGATTTTTTCACAGTCAAGACATGACAGTGTTGAAGCCTGCATCCAAATCTGATTCTTCCCCCTCACCCATCTTTTATATCTTTAATGTACCCTGGCTATTTAACCATGAAAATGATTTATAGGAATCCTACTCCCGACATCATTTGGACATTTGTCCCTTACTACAATCTGCTCTCATTTTCTAACTTTTTAAATTTTCTAATTTTCCTCAGCTTGAAAGATCCAGCCATGTGAGCAGGACAGAAGTAAGCAATAACCATGTCCTCATTTATGCGGAACAGGTAAGAGCTCTGACATTTTGGCTGACACTATACACACTAGTGATCTTTTTAAGTGAATCTCTTCACTAGAAAATAAGTAGTATGAGGAAAGTGGTAATTAACAGCACCCTTCCAGAAAGTTCCTTTATTCTAAGAGAATAAAAATCTCCTTTTAGATCATGGAATCTTTTGTTCTCTTTTATTATGTTCTATTTCTATGAAATAGAACAAAAGGTTTATTGTGTCTGTTATTTTAAAGACCTCCCGCAAAAGAATAAATATACCACATGGTGGTTGATCAATGATAGTGTAAACATTCTAATATATCACTATATAAGAGAATATAAAATGTAGACCTCATGAATATCTTCAAGTCTGACTATAAAGCAAAGGGAGTGATTTATCTAAGCACACAAAAAGACTAGTTTAATAATTATAAATGGTACAAAGCCAAGTCTCTGGCATCTTAGAAACCATTCACATGCGCCCAGAGAGTTAATCTCATACAGAAGACTACAAGAGAATATGGGGCGCCTGGGTGGCTCAGTCGTTAAGCGTCTGCCTTCGGCTCAGGTCATGATCCCAGGATCCTGGGATCGAGTCCCACATCGGACTCACTGCTCAGCAGGAAGTCTGCTTCTCCCTCTCCCACTCCCCCTGCTTGTGTTCCTGCTTTCACTGTCTCTCTCTGTCAAATAAATAAATAAAATCTTTAAAAAAAAAAAAGAAAATATGGATTGTCTCAGTTGTTTAGGAGAAAATCAGGGGAATTTTGTTCATGGTAAAGTGTTTCCAAAGTTTTGTTTAAAGCAGATCTTGGGGGCACCTGGGTGGCTCAGGTCGTGATCTCAGGGTCATGAGATCCAGCCCTGCACTGCACTTCAGGCTCAGTGGGGAGTCTGCTTGGGACTCTCTCTCTCCCTCTGCCCCTCCCCCTGCTCATGCTCTCTCTCTCTCTCTCTCTAAAATAAATGAATAAATATTTTTAAAAATAAAAAAGTAAAACCCATCTTGTCATCCATAAATGTTTGCTCACCTAAAAGACACTAGTGCATAAGAATCTGAAAACCATAAAGAATATAATTTACTCAAGGAAGAGAGAAGGAGGTTTTCTAGCCTGTTCATTACTCCCACTTTTCCTTTTAGGTAACAAATCAGACACTCAGCTTTTCCTTCATGGTTCTGCAAGACATCCCAGTAAGAGACCTCAAGCCAGCGACCGTTAAAGTCTATGATTACTATGAGACAGGTAAGTCAAAGGAAACTGAAGCAACTAAAGAATCTCAACCCAGAGACAAGGAATGGATTCTGTTGTTACAGTAGATCCTAGTTTTAGTCCATTCAGTCAGTAGTACATCTATTTGTGTCTTTGCTCTGAGATACATAGTGTAGAAACTATGAACAGAACAAATTTATCAATATCTATGGAGTCAGAAACTTAGAAATTTAAAAAGAAAGATAATATTTGGTCCCTGCTCTCAAATAGTTTAGAGACATAGAGAATGTAATACACATAAAAAGATAATGTAACAAGAAAAAGCAGTTTATGACAAATGAATGTTAGAATATAGATATTTTAACTATCCTGTTCAACACTTGTGTATTTATGCAGTTTTGATAATCCTGATATGATGTACTTTTCTTCAAAAGTAAAGTGAACAGACTTAATATGGGCTCCAGTTTATAGATATCTTTTTTTTCTCTCTCCTTTCATCCAACAATTCTTTCAGATGAGTCGGCCATTGCTGAGTACATCACCCCCTGCGGCGTAGGTAAGCGGTCACACGCCAGGACCACCATCATTCCACATTAACTACACTCCCTAAACTTTCTTCTAAATTTAAAATTCTCTACAAGTCTCCTCTTAGACCCAAGACAGTCCATTGGGCACATTCTCACACAAAGAGAAAACTGTGGAGAAGAGCACTTACTCTGTAGGTAGACTCCAACTGCAGATATTCACACCATTATCAGTAAAGTCAGTAAGCGTTGTTTGCTTGTTCGTTAGTAGGATAGCTATCGCTAATAGGCAACATTTTACATCACAGTTAATTTGTTTCCCTCAGACAAAGTCTAGCCCAACATCTATTTTTGTAAATGAAGTTTTTATTGGAGCAGATCCATGCTCATTACATTATTTTCAATAGCTGCTTTCAAAAGTTGAGGAGCTATGATGTAAGCCACATGGCCAGCAACATCCAAAATATTTACCATGTGGCCTCACAGCAAAAGTGTGCCAACCTCTGTTCTAGCCCACTCTGTTGCCCAGGCTCAACTGAGGGAATATTCCTGAGGAAACCCTACAACCGTCCTATGTTTCTCTTTTCTCCATAGATGCAGAACACAGCAATGTTTGAGGACCATATTTAAGCTACACGTGTTGCTGGATTCCCTGTCTTGTACTGCTATTTAAAAGAAATGGAGTTGTTTGTCTCTGTGAAATAGACTTCAAAGAAGCATGTTGAATAAACATATGTTTCTGGTCAAGCTATCATTTGTTCAGTCATTTACTTATCAAATATTAATTACATGTTCACATAAAGAGTTATGTTATTTTAAATAATGTGAAGACTACAGATGTGTAACAAATCTACTTATAGTTCAGCTGTGGATATTAAAGTCAAACAGGGAAAAACTGACAATAGTTTTGAGAGACCTCAAGAAAAAACTCATCCATTGGTCTAGGAAGCCTTTGCTTAGAGAGAAATAAGTAAGTAGTATTGATTAGTAACTAGGAAAGCATAAATATTTTTTGAGAGGAAACGGGAAATATTAGTCTTTGTCCCTAAGCGAAGAATCAAAAATGGACTTCACAAGAGACTAAAATGATTGGGGTAAAAGAATGTGTTGGAGACAGGCAGTATTGTGCAGTGGTTAAAGTCTAGACGCAGGGGCCAGATTGCCTAGAGACAAATTCAGACTCTATCCATGCCTCACCAACTGAGTGAGGAGGGCAGTAGCTTAACCTCTCTGCTTCAGATTCCTCACAATGAAATGGGAATAACAGACCCTCCCTCAAAGTATTATATGAGGATAAACTATTCTCATGGGAAAGGGGAAAGAGAAATAGCTGAATCAAGCAAGGGCTCTTAAAGCTTTGGCTAAAATGAAAAGTATATAACTTACATTTGTATTCTATTGGCTAAAGCAAATCACATGACCAAGCCAAACTTTAATGGGGCACTCATTCAGTATGTTGTCACGTCCCTTCATGGGAAAAATCATAGGCCAAGGGGGTCTCTCCTGGCACCAAACTGTGCCACCTTGGGGGAAGGTGATGAAGGCAAAGTAAAAATATTCCTCTTACCCTCTTCAATGCATCTATTCTTGGATTTCCCCCCCACGCAGAGTGTGTTGGGACTTCCCCACTGGTCTCTCCAACTCCCCCAGGGTACTCTCATCCATAACTGCTAAAATCAATGTTCTGTGGGGGGTGATGGTGCCGAACTCTTATCTGATGATGTCTCCTCTCATTTTCAGCCCTACCGTGGGTTTCTTCCTGTCTTCAACATTCTTTAAATGGGTGATTGGGAAGAGGAAAGGAGGGCTATGGACCTACATTTGATTCAGAAGCCAAATTATCTTTCAGTTGCTGTCCCCTTAGTGAAAAAATTCTCAGCTCCCAAATATTTTTGAGGAGGAATTTTGTCTATTTACTTTTTATTTTTAACTTATGTGGGTCTTCTCCTCCCCCTCCTCCTCCTTCTCCCCCTTCCCCTCCTCTTCCTCCATCTCCTCCTCTTTCTTCTTCAGAAAATCAAATATTGATGTAATTTTATATTAGCATAGTATTTTAAAAACCTCAGAGACTTTTCTAAATATTTCATTTTATCTAAACCATTTTGCAACTCATAATGAAATAATGCATCTAGGTCTTGAACACCAACGGTTGCTAACATCACAAAGAGAAATAATTAGACATTCTGTGCATCCTGGTGGATGAATATAATATTTCCTATGAAGTAGCATTGCCAAGAAATTAAATCTAATTCTCTGTTCCTGAGAAAAAGCTAAGAAACAGTATGAAACCATTCTCTTTGGCCTTCCTCAGAATCAAAGGCACAGTGTTTCAAAATGGAAAATTTAGAAGTCTTTAAAGATGACCCAAAAGATCTGAGTCCGAATGAATGTGAGAATTTTGTCAGAAACAAGCGGTTTCTCAATCACAGGGATTAGATTCCCATCTAAACAAGAGGGAGGACAGAAGAGCGGGTCAGCCAGGAGTCTAAGAAATCCTCTCCTTAATCCAGACCACTTTTTGATTTCACCTTAGGTTTTCCAAAGAGAAAAGAGTAAACTGCGCACTAATCCCTTCATTCAAATGATGCAGGTAGTGCTATTTTATCACTATGAATTTTGATCCCTTTCTTATGAGGTCAAGTATTGCTGATCCATTTTCACATAAGGAATGGGAGAAGTAATGAATAGAGATTTACACATTTTCCCACCATTTCACTACTCCCAGAAAAAGAGGTAAGTCTCTTAATGCTAGTGCTCTTTATTAAATCCTGGGATTAAAATTCCATATTTCTAGGATCATAATTTTGCTTACACAAGCAGGAAGAATATATGTGTGGGCAGTAATGGCATTATCAAATAGAGACCAAAGAAGATATTGAGGGGGAGGTAGTTTTATCCACTCCTGTATAAGAAAATCGTAACGTGGGAGCCTAGCACCAGAAGTCTTTGCATGTTTTTAGCCAATAATGTGAGGTTATGGAGATGTATATGTAAAAATGGAAATTACCAAAATGATAACTAGACTGTTCTCCCTTCCTTTATCTTTTCCTTTCTCTTTTTTCAAAAAGAAAAAAAATATATATATATATATATGCACATACCTGAACTGAAACTATACACGCTCATTTTTCTTTCAAACTTTGTAAAATATTTCTGTTTCCCAGCTTCCTTCCCTGAATAACATGGAAGGATAACTTATTGAAACATCAACTGGTGTTTTGTTTTCACTTCTAAAAAGGATTTGGGAAGAATGTGATCTGTGCTGATCCTAATCCCTTGTATTTCCCTTCCCTATTTCAAAAGTGTAGCCAGGCCCTTGTGTTCTTTTGCCTTTGGAATTTTCAAGGTTAGAAGCAGAGGTTACTTAAAGATCTTTGTGAAAGCCCTGACTACTGAGCAAATTACTTACTCTAGGTGCTCCTGAAGAAAAGGAGGTTTTTTCAGGGAGGGAAGAGTAGAAACCCAGTTGGCAGGGAGAATCCAAAACCAGGAGTTGGGTGGAGGTTTGTGTGACCCAAGATAGTGGACATCTGCGGTCCCCTCCCTCATTGCACTCAAGAGAAAAGACAAGGCCTGTGAGTTAAATAGCTATATGAGGCCCACTCTGAGCCACAGATTTCTCAGTGTCAGCAAACATTCTCTCGCCCAAATCTAGCACAGAAGCAGCCAAGCAGTCAGGCTTCCAAGGTGGCTGAGGGGTTGGACAATGACATGGTCATATCAGGAGTAGCCATTTCAAGCAAACACTAAACAATCTTCCCATTTTGCTTTACAAATCCCAGTGTGAGAAAAGCTCTCATAAAAACTAAGATTAATTCTCACCCAGCAATTTGGAAGAATGGAAGCAGAATTGGATTTAATTCAACATAAAAAAAAGAATGTTATATTTCTTGAATGCCACAGTTTGTGGTTCCTAATTCATATCTGCTACAGCAATAAGTATTCTTTTTTTTTAAAGATTTTATTTATTTATTTGAGAGAGAGAGAATGACAGATAGAAAGCACGAGAGGGAAGAGGGTCAGAGGGAGAAGCAGACTCCCCGCTGAGCAGGAAGCCTGATGTGGGACTCGATCCCGGGACGCCAGGATCATGCCCTGAGCCGAAGGCAGTCGCTTAACCAACTGAGCCACCCAGGCACCCAGCAATAAGTATTCTTAAAACTATGCCAACACTTCTATTTTCTTACCCCTGAAAGTTGAAAATTCTTATTCTTATTTACCATTATTTTGAAACCACTGTGACTAATTCAGGGTATAGCAAAAAGTAGTCAATTCCCTTCCTTCCTTCCTTCCTTCCTTCCTTCCTTCCTTCCATCCTTCCCTCCCTCCCTCCCTCCCGCCTTCCTTCCCTTTATTTCTAAGTAGTTATTTTTCTTGAGGTATGACTGACATACAAAAAAACCACACTTATTTCATGTCTACATCTTGATGAGTTTGAAGATAAGTATATACTATGAAACCATCACCATATACAATGCCATAAATGTAACCATCATCAGTTTCTTCCCTCTTTTTTGATAAGAACATTTAACATAAGATGTACTCTTTTAAGAAACTTTTTATGGACAGCCACATGTAGAAGAATGAAACTGGACCATTTTCTTACACCCAACACAAAGATAAACTCAAAATGGATGAAAGACCTAAATGTGAGACAGAATCCATCAAAATCCCAGAGGAAAACACAGGCAGCAATCCCTTCGAACTCAGCCACAGCAACTTCTTGTTAAACATATCTCCAAAGGCAAGGGAAACAAAGGCAAAAATGAACTATTGGGACTTCATCAAGATAAAAAGCTTCTGCACAGCAAAGGAAACAGTCGGCAAAACCAAAAGACAACCGACAGAATGGGAGAAGATTTCTGCAAATAACATATCAGATAAAGGGTTAGTATCCAAAATTTATAAAGAACTTATCAAACTCAACACCCAAAGAACAAATAATCCATCAAGAAATGGGCAGAAGACATGAACAGACATTTCTGCAAAGAAGACATCCGAAAGGCCAGCAGACACATGAAAAAGTGCTCAACATCGCTCGGCATCAGGGAAATCCAAATCAAAACCTCAATGAGATACCACCTCACACCAGTCAGAATGGCTCAAATTAACAAGTCAGAAAACGACAGATGCTGGTGAGGATGCAGAGAAAGGGGAACCCTCCTACACTGTTGGTAGGAATGCAAGTTGGTGCAGCTACTCTGGAAAACAGCATGGAGGTTCCTCAAAAAATTAAAAGCAGAGCTACTATAACACTACTAGGAATTTACCTCAAAGATACAAATGGAGTGATCCGAAGGGGCACCTGCACACCAGTGTTTATAGCAGCAATGTCCACAATAGCCAAACTATGGAAAGAGCCCAGATGTCCATCAACAGAACAGATGAATGGATAAAGAAGATGTGATATATATATATATAGTATATATACACAATGGAATATTACTCAGCCACCAAAAAAATGAAATCTTACCATTTGCAATGATGTGGATGGAACTAGAGGGTATTATGCTAAGAGAGATAACTCAATCAGAGAAAAGCAATTATCTTATGATCTCACTGATATGTGGAATTTAAGAAACAAAACAGGATCATAGGGGAAGGGAGGGAAAAATAAAATAAGATGAAATCAGAGAGAGAGATAAAACAATAAGAGACAATAAGAGACTCTTAATTATAGGAAACAAACTGAGAGTTGTTGAAGGAGAGGTTGGCGGGGGGATGGGGTAACTGGGTGATGGGCATTAAGGAGGGCAGGTGATGTAATGAGCACTGGGTGTTGTATGCAACTGATGAAGCACTGAACTTTACCTCAGAAACTAATAATGCACTATATGTTAACTTATTGAATTTAAATAAAATAAAAAGAAACTTTTAAGCACACAATACAATATTGTTAACTATATGTGCTATGCTATACAGATTTCTGAAGCTTCTTCACTATGCGTAAGTAAAACTATATACCCTTTAACCAACATCTCCCTGATTCTTCTTGCCCCCAGCCCTTGATAACCACTATTCTACCCTCTGCCTCTATGAGTTTCACTATTTTTAATTTCTGACATAAGACAATAGATTATTTGTTCTGTGTCTGGTTTATTTCTTTTAGCATAATGTCTTTAAAGTTCATCCACGTAGAGCAAATGGCAGAATTTCCTTCTTTTTTAAAGCTCAGTATGTTCCACTACATGTATATACCACATTTTCTTTATCTATTCTATTGTCCGTAGACATTTAGGTTGTTTCCATGTCTTTGTTATTATAAATAATGCTTCAATAAACATGAAAGGGCAGATATGTCTTTGAGATCCTGATTCTAATTCTTTTGGGTAAACACCCAGAAGTGGGACTGCTGTATCCTAAGGTAGTTCTATTTTTAATTGTTTGAGGAGCCTCCATACTGTTTTCCATAATGGCTTTACCAGTTTACATTTCCACTGACATTGACAGTGTACAAGGATTCTCTTCTCTCCACACCCTTCTAAACACTTGCTATCTTTTGACTTTTTGATAATGACTATCCTAACTCTTGTGAGGTTCTATCTCATTATGGTTTTATTTGCATTTCCCTGATGATTACTGATGTTGCACACCTTTTCATATACTGATAGGCCATTTGTCTTCTCTGGAGAAATGTCTATTTGGAAAAATGGCTTTTTGCCCTTTTTAAAACTTTTTTTTTTTTTTTTTTTGTTTTGATTTATTTGTTTTGGAGGGGCAGGGTTATTTGGAGTATTGTGCTATTGAGTCATGTGAGTTCCTTATATATTTTGGATACTAACCTTTTATCAGATACATGATTTGCAAATTATTCTCTCCCATTCTGTAGGTTACCTTTTCACTTTGCTAATGATTTCCTTTGCTGTGCAGAAGCATTTTAGTTTGATATAGTCCATTTGTCTATTTTTGCTTTGGTTGCCTATGCTTTTAGTGTCATATCCAAGGAAACATTGCCAAGCCATTTGCTCTCTATGTTTTCTTCTAGGAGTTTTACAGTTTATGCTTAAGTCTTAATCCATTTTGAGTTGATTTTTGTGTATGGTGTAAGATAAGGAAACAATTTCTTTTGTATGTAGATATCCAATTTTCCCAAAAACATTCATTGAAGAGACTGTTCTTTCCCCTTTGTGATTCTTGTCCCCCTTGTCAAAGATCAATTTACTATAAATGTGTGGGTTTATTTCTGGAACTTCTTTTTTGTTCCATTGGCCTATGTATCTGCTTTTATGCCTGTACTATACTTCTTTGATTGCTACAGCTTTGTAATATAGTTTGAAATCAGAAAGTGTGATGCCTCCTGCTCTGTTCTTCTTGCTCCAGATTGCTTTGGCTATTCAGGCTCTACAATAGTTGGAGACGTTAACAACCCTCTATCAGAAATGGAGTTACTGCCAGGGACCTACTCAATACTGACATTAGTACAATGTCGGACCTAG